AGAGAAACACTAAAAATAAAATGAATAGGCGCACAAAATAATCCTAAACCTTCCCCAGCAACGGCGCCAATTTGTTGTAAGTATTTTTACCGGAGTAGAATCGAAAGATTCGACACCGGGTCGTATCGCAAGGAAGGTTAGCCGGATTATTAAGCACGTTTACTCACCACAATTAGAAGAAATAAAATAAATAAAATTCCTAAACATTCTAAGTCAAATAATTGGATGGGTTTTTTTTAGCTATCAACTACTGCAAATAATTAAATAACGCAGAGAACGTAGTAAGCAAGGACGAAGAACAATTATGATAAAAGCGCTAGGGTATCGGGGATTTCGCTTCCGGTTCACAATGCATTCATCAAGCAATGAATTACTCGGCTAAAGGACTCAATAAACTAACTCATCCAGAGATTCATTCTCAATATCTCACGAAACAAGAGAATAAACATAGATAAATCATTAACGAATCAATCAGCGCATAGACAATACGTTACCGAACAAGCCTATTCTTAACGAGCTTAGATCGAACAATTTATCCCCTTTCGGTTTCTAAATTGATTAATTAGATTAAGATGGAGATCAAGCATCTAAACCCTAGGTTAAGCACAACTCGGAAAGATGAGCAATTACCAAGTATTTAAACGAAATCGAACCGGACCGATAATCCCCTACCCCTAGCTAATGAATTTAGCTACTCATCATGCATTCAACATCAACATATTCAATAATCAAAGCCATCTCAATCAAAAGGAAAACGAAAGTAAAGCTTACGATTAATGAATCCAATGTCGAGAACAATAGAAAAAACCAAATCCAAGAGTCTCTAAGTTTTCACCCTCAAGATTGATCCCCAAGAGAAACAAGTGAAAAATATGTGTTCTGGAACTTTTTTCGTACGAGAAAGACCAAAACCTAACCTCCAACATAATGAAAAACGATCCCAAAATATAACTTTAAAAATCTGCAGATCGCGGACTTCGCGGGCCGCGACCCATTTCGCGGGCCGCGGCGAAGAAGCTCCGCGGGCCGCGACCAAGTCCAAGGCCACGGGAAAGTCTGGTCTGAAGTGCTGTATGACTGCGGCATTTTGTTCGCCG